CCATAGACTATTCAAATGCAAATACTCATCATGTGTCACCTTGAGAGTAGGGTCGATGTGCAAAATTCACTTGCAATCAATGATTTTTGTCTCATCAAGAACATTAAATTCCACCTTTTCCTCCCCAAAGTAAAAAATCATGGACCCTTTCCTTGCATCAATCATTGCTCCAATAGTGGCTAGGAAGGGTCTCCCCAAAATGAGTGGAACGTCTGGGTTCTTTTGGACATCTATCACAATAAAATCACAAGGCACAAAATACTTGGCCACACGAACTGGGACATCTTCAAGACTTCCAATAGGCTTTACGATGGATCTATCCATCATTTCTAAAGTGAATTGGATTGGTTTTGGTTCTCCCAACCCTAACCCTTGACAAAGAGTAAGAGGCATAACACTCACATTGGCTCCTAAATCGCAAAGGGATCCCTTTAAAGGTCGGCCTCCAATCACACAAGGAATTGTGAACTTCCCCGGATCTCTATGCTTAGGTATATTCCTCCCAATTCCTGGGGTCAACGCTCGATATTCTTGTGCCACAGCTACCATCTCTCGTTCCCCATATTTCTTTTTCTTAGCTAGAATCTCTTTCAAAAATTTTCCATAAGAGGGAACTTGTGAAAGCAAATCAAGTAAGGGAACTGAAACTTTCAAACTCTCAACAATCTCCAAAAACTTTTTCCACCTACTTTCTTTCGTTGTTTCAAATTTTTGAGGAAAAGGCAATGGTGATACATACCTTCTCACGGGCTTCTCTACTTCCTTTTGAACTTGTGGATTATTTTGCACAACAATTGGCTCATCTTCTATACCATCAAGTATTTCTTCAATCTTCTCCTGAACTGTCTTTTTAGGAATTGATGCTTTGATTGGAAAAGGTGGCTCTTCAAGTACTTTGCCACTCCTTGTAACAATTGCATTTACATGCTCCCTTGGATTTTCAGGCATAGCTGGCAACTTCCCTGTGACTATAGTACTTGATATAGAAGGTTGATTTGCTAATTGCTTTTCAACCATATTTTGGCGAGCATCCATCTTATCCATCCTTTCTGTAATCTCTAACGGACCTTTTATCAATTTTTCCAACAATACTTCCATACTCGATTGTGGTGGGGCCTCTGAAACGGGAAATTTAGATTGAACTTGAGTACCTTGAAAACCCAGAGGACCTCTATTAACAAAGTGTTGAGGGTTGGCAGCTCCCATTGGGTTGCTCCATGAAAAACCGGGATGGTTCCTTGAATTATTAGGATGGTAGGTCCCTTGAGGTTGGAAAGACTGTTGATGAGGCCTATTATATCCCACCATATTAACTTGCTCCATAGAGGTTTGAGAATTTAACTCGTCGAGACAATCCCCTGACTTATGTCCACCACCACAAAGTTCACACATCAAAACTCGACCAAGAGTAGGAGAGTTAGAAACATGACTCACATTGTGATTTTGGATGGTGATTTGGGCAAGTTTTTGAACCATGGAAACCACATTATCCAACTTTGTTGACAAATCGGTTAATTGCCCCGCATTATGAATTTCTCCTACAAGCTTTTGTGGAGACTTCTCCGTGTACCAAGTAGATCCATTCATAGCAATTTTCTCCAATAGTTCCTCAGCTTGTGTTGGCTCTAGAATCGTGAACGAACCACCCGAAGAAGCATCCACCAAAATCCTAGAATTATCAAGCAATCCTTCATAGAAAGACATCATCAAATCCCAACTTTGAAATCCATGGTGTGGACATTGCCTCTTCAATTCCTTAAATCTCTCCCAAGACTCAGTGAGGGACTCAGTTGCCAGTTGCTTAAAGTTTTGAATTGCCCTTCTCATCCTTTGAGTTTTGGAGACAGGATAGAACTTCTTCAAAAATTCTCCATGTAATTTTTCCCCAGTGTCAAAATGGTTATCTTGATGTGAGGATAACCAATCTTCAGCCCTGTCCTTCAGTGTAAAGAGGAAAAGCCTAAGTCTGACAGCATCTTGAGTGACTCCATTCATCTTGAAAGTGCCACAAAGTCGTAGGAACTTGGTGGTGTGAGCATTGGGATCTTCCGTGGGTATCCCTCCAAATCGACCCGTCGCAGCCATGCTGAGTATGGCCGGATTGATCGCAAAGTTATTGGCCTCCACATTTGGAATATTGATGCTACCATGCTCCTCAACATCCGGAGCAAGGTAGTCAGACATTGATCTCCCTTCAACTTGGTTTTCTTGTACCTGTGCCATCCTAGTTTGTTTTCTAAGAAACTTGGCTTTTTTCTCAATCTCAAGATTCAAAGGTAATAATCCTTCTTTCCCAAAAGATCGTGTACGCATACAAAGCCAAGTTCTTAGATTCAAAGCAAAATCACACTTCAAGAACAAGGAACTTGTTATGGGTTAGAAAATAAATAAAATAAAATAAAATAAAATAAATGGACTAGACTCCTAAAGTAAGACTTTCACTAATGTCAGTACGTAACGCCACCTCCCCAGCAACGGCGCCAATTTGGTTACGGTAATTTGGGGCAAACAAATGATACCCGGAGTATTCAGGTAGTCGAACCACAAGGAGATGGGATACTAATAACTAGTTACTCGCTAACTCATTAGAACTAGTCTGGTCGAAACTTGAAGGTTGGTTGGTTGCATAAAATAACAAGCAAAATAAAATAAGTAACAAGGTTTTGTAGACAATAGAGCAAAACAGGATTCTTGGGATCACAATGTTTAATCACCTAGTGCCAATTAACGTTTGTAATATTTGGTTTGGAATTAAGATCTGTGTGGGAATGCAAAGTGGAATCGAATTACTCCTGTAATCTCTATTCCTAGTGAATTTCCACTCCCGTGGCTTAAACACCCGATAAGATCGAAGATCAGCATTCAATTATTCCTAATTACTACCATCTCCCGATGAGCAACAATCTAGAATAAACTTCCCCTAATAAGTTCCCCTTTCCCAAGGTCCAACCATTAGGTGCAATCGTGTGTGCCCTAATTTATGCCCCAATTCCCATTGGTGACACAAATATGACTATGAAGCTAGTAATTTAGGCCTTTAATTACCAACAACAACAGGTTAAAAACAAGATTGCAACACAAATCATAAAACTAAACATAAATATATTAAGAAATTAACGAACTAGGCACATAGGTTTATAAACAAATTCACTCAAAAATCCATCAGGAATTTAGCCAAGCATGGCTAAATTATACATAGCAAATATAAATAAAGAATTACAAATCATCAAAAGAGTACAAGAATTGACCAAGCGATTCTCCCAAATCTCCTTGGCTTCGTCCTTGCTTCCAAAGACAACTTGAGGCTCTTGATTTCTCTCTTTCTTGTATACAAAGAACTCTAAAAATCTCTGTCTCCAAATCTTCCTATTAGGGTTGAGGAAGGTGGGATTTTATAGAAGGTATAAAGCTGAAACGGAATTGAAATATTCCTAAATTAAATAAGAAATTTCCGTCCCACTTAATTGGAATATTTTCTAATTTTTTGATTTTGGAAACTTAAATAAAGCTTTGGAAATTGAAATTGAATTGGAAATTGAAATTGAATTGGAAGTTGAAATTGAATTGACGCGTCGAGTCCTCTGGGTCCCAAATTTGTCCAAAATTGCTCCAAAGTCATCCTTGAACTCCCCTTACTCATATCTTTGACCTAAAATGGTTCAAAAACACTAACAAACACCGTAAAACATTCAAAACAAGTGCGAATCATAATTAAATGATAATAGCAAGGAAAACATGTATTAAATAAGCAAAATTAAAGAACTTAATTACTGTGATGATTCAAAATAATTATAAAAACAAGCACGGATGTGATAACATCAAGGCCTGAGCTACACTATTTTATTTTTAGCTTGTGAGAATGGGAACGAAACGAGATAGACGATAACAAAAATTGATTCAGCAAGTTGAGTGGTATCATATTCAGGAAAAAAAAATGGATGAGAAAGAAAAACTTTCTAATAATCTGATTAGATGAATCTTGATTAAAAAATCAATTTTTTAGTGAAATAAATTTTGCAAACAGCAAATTTTAAATTATTGGCCTCGGCCGAACTTGAACCGGAGACCTTAAGTGTGTTAAACTGACGTGATAACCAACTTCACCACAAAACCATTCGCATTCACATTGGCAATCAATAATTAAGTTACCAGCAAAGGACCATATTAGATTGAGATCACATTATCAGTGGTGTGATGCTTTTCCCCATCCGTTTTGTTTAGTGTTGGAGAAATCATTTTTTTCTCTGTGTCTTTTTATATCTCGAACTCCAAACATCAAAATGGATCCAATATGACTCAGGCCTGAGCTACCCTATATTATTTTTAGCTTGTGAGAATGGGAACGAAACGAGATAGATGAGAACAAAAATTGATTCAGCAAGTTGAGTAGTATCATATTCAGAACAAAAAAAAAAAAAAAAAAGGTTGAGAAAGAAAAACTTTCTAATAATCTGATTAGATGAATCTTGATTAAAAACTGAATTTTTAGTGAAATAAATTTTGCAAACGGAAAATTTAACATTATTGGCTTCGGCCGGACTTGAACCGGAGACCTTAAGTGTGTTAAACTGACGTGATAACCAACTACACCACAAAACCATTCGCATTCACATTGGCAATCAATAATTAAGTTACCAGCAAAGGACCATATTAGATGGAGATCACATTATCAGTGGTGTGATGTTTTTCCCCATGCGTTTTGTTTAGTGTTTGAGAAATCATTTTTTTTCTCTGTCTTTTTATATCTCCAGCTCAAAACATCAAAATGGATCCAACATGACTCAGGCCTGAGCTACCTTTTTTTATTTTTAGCTTGTGAGAATGGGAACAAAACGAGATAGATGAGAACAAAAATTGATTCAGCAAGTTGAGTAGTATCATATTCAGGAAAAAAAATGGACAAGAAAGAAAAACTTTCTAATAATCTGATTAGATGAATCTTGATTAAAAAATCAATTTTTTAGTGAAATAAATTTTTCAAATAGCAAATTTAACATTATTGGCCTCGGCCGGACTTGAACCGGCGTTGACCTTAAGTATGTTAAACTGACGTGATAACCAACTACACCACAAAACCATTCGCATTCACATTGGCAATCACTAATTAAGTTACCGGCAAAGGACCATATTAGATGGAGATCACTTTATCAGTGGTGTGACGCTTTTCCCCATGCGTGTTGTTTAGTGTTGGAGAAATCATTTTTTTCTCTGTGTCTTTTTATATCTCCAACTCCAAACATCAAAATGGATCCAACATGACTCAGGCCTGAGCTACCCAATTTTCTTTTTAGCTTGTGAGAATGGGAACGAAACTAGATAGATGAGAACAAAAATTAATTCAGCTAATTGAGTAGTATCATATTCAGAACAAAAAAAAAAAAGGTTGAAAAAGAAAAACTTTCTAATAATCTGATTAGATGAATCTTGATTAAAAAATCAGTTTTTTTATTGAAATAAATTTTGCAAACGAAAAATTTAACATTATTGGCTTCACCCGGACATTAACCGGAGACCTTCAGAGTGTTAGACTAACGTGATAACCAACCGCACCACAAAACCATTTACGTTCACATTGACAATAATTAATTACTTTACCAGTAAAGGACCATATTAGATGGAGATCACTTTATCAGTGGTGTGATGCTTTTCCCCATGGTTTTGTTTAGTGTTGGAGAAATCATTTATTTTTTGTGTGTGTTTTTATATCTCCAACTCCAAACATCAAAATGGATCCAACATGACTCAGGCCTGAGCTACACAATTTTATTTTTAGCTTGTGAGAATGGGAACGAAACGAGATAGATGATAATAAAAATTGATTCAGCAAGTTGAGTGTTATCATATTCAGGAAAAAAAATGGATGAGAAAGAAAAACTTTCTAATCAACTGATTAGATGAATCTTGATTAAAAAATAATTTTTTTATTGAAATAAATTTAGGAAACGGAATATTCAACATTATTGGCTTCGCCCGAACTTGAACCAGAGACCTTCAATGTATTAGACTGACGTGATAACCAACTACACCACAAAACCATTAGCATTCACATTGGCAACAAATAATTATGTTACCAGCAAACGACCATACTAGATGGAGATTACTTTCTCAGTGGTGTGATGCTATTCCCCATGTGTTTTGTTTAGTGTTGGAGAAATCATTTATTTTTTCTGTGTGTTTTTATATCTCCAACTCCAAACATCAAAATGAATCCAACATGACTCAGGCCTGAGCTACACTATTTTATATTTAGCTTCTGAGAATGGGAACGAAACGAGATATATGATAACAAAAACAGATTCAGCTAATCTGATTAGATGAATCCTGATTAAAAAATCAATTTTTTAGTGAAATAAATTTTGCAAACAGCAAATTTAACATTATTGGCCTCGGCCGGACTTGAACCGGAGACTTTAAGTGTGTTAAACTGACGTGATAACCAACTACACCATAAAACCATTCGCATTCACATTGGCAATCAATAATTAAGTTACCAGCAAAGGACCATATTAGATGGAGATCACATTATTAGTGGTGTAATGCTTTTCCCCATGCGTTTTGTTTAGTGTTTGAGAAATCATTTTTTTGTCTGTGTCTTTTTATATCTCCAACTCCAAACATCAAAATGGATCCAACATGACTCAGGCCTGAGCTACCTTTTTTTATTTTTAGCTTGTGAGAATGGGAACAAAACGAGATAGATGAGAACAAAAATTGATTCAGCAAGCTGAGTAGTATCATATTTAGGAAAAAAAAATGGACAAGAAAGAAAAACTTTCTAATAATCTGATTAGATGAATCTTGATTAAAAAATCAATTTTTTAGTGAAATAAATTTTTCAAATAGAAAATTTAACATTATTGGCCTCGGCCGGACTTGAACCGGCGGAGACCTTAAGTGTGTTAAACTGACGTGATAACCAACTACACCACGAAACCATTCGCATTCACATTGGCAATCAATAATTACATTAGCAGTAAAGGACCATATTAGATGGAGATCACTTTATAAGTGGTGTGATTCTTTTCACCATGCGTTTTGTTTAGTGTTGGATGTAATTTTGCATATTCTCTTTTTAGATAGATTAACAGAATTAATCAACTGTCAAAGATTACTGATTGATTCAGTTACGAAGTCAGTCAGTAATAATAAATAGTGGAGAAGATGTAACAGAAATATAAGAGTACACACCCAACGACAAAGAATATTTACCTAGTTCGATACAGTGTGTATCTACGTCTGGGGGACGATCACATAGGCGTCCAATCTACTAAATCGTAATCCAATGTACAAAGGTAGATATACAACAATCTTACCCAAGTGCCCCACACAAGGTACATACCCATTCTACACCGGTTTAGTGGATTGTTGAAGATGGAGAGCCATGCATACAGAAGTCCAATGAAATCCCTTCACTTGGAGAGCCCACTCTGATGCAGTCCACTTCAATGACGCTCTTTATAGTTTTTCCCACAACAGTGTGATCACAGTGTCCTTTCGTTTAAGCAGTAGTGATTCTTCTCAAGTTCATCATCTTAATCACCTTGAACATATTGTATTGAGAAGATACATGAAAATCAAAGATCTAATCTCATATAGCAGATGGGGAGTGTTTCATCATATATTCAGCGTAACCCTAAATCTCTTAGAGTACGGGTACTTATAGATTCTTCAATAAACCCTCTCCATAAAAGACTTTGATTGTAGAAGGTAGGACTATAAAAGAGGAATGTAATCTCAGAAGATTAGGTCCATATCTTTCTTGAAAATATACGCTAATCTTCTTTCCAAACTTGTCTGATAATACCGCGTAAGACTTTTAGAAATCAGCTTCCTAAATCAGATCTTCAGTGTCAGTCCTTCTATTGTTGCTTCTGATTGATCAGTCGTCTGTAGAGCTGGACGGACAAACTCTAAACCTATCTTAGTATTCCATAATAATATTGTCAATTATAATATGGGGATTTTGAACATTTAAAAACACTAACAAACTCCCCCTTTGGCTATTATTTGGCAAAACAACTCGACTATATAGATAGACAAAACATAAAGATCTAAGATAGGTTATTATAAAGAAGCAACCCATGAGTCTGATCTGATTACATAGAACAAAAACAAAAACATAAGATCCAAAACAGTTTATGATCAAAAGCAAGAAATGGTGTCATCAAAAACAACGCCCAGACAGGGCCAGAAGGTACCCAAACACAAAAACTCCCCCTGAGTTCATACTACTCCTCCTTTTTTCCAATGATAGCCAAAGGTCAAGCATTGGAGGGAGTGTCGCTGTCAGACTTCGCAGGATCAGCAGCAGCAGCAGATTCTGATAGGCTTAAACGAAGTAGAACGATTGCTAGCTCAGTACGGGCCCCTGTCAGTTGCTTTGCAATAATGCCATGTACTGTCTCAAGATCAGCGACCCTTGCCTTCAACTGTATGGAAAGCTGAACATCCTTAGCATGAGGAGAATCATCAGACACAGCATCAGGTTCAGAATTGGATGGGGCAGACACAGGAACAACATCCCGAATGTGATCTCCAGTCAGTAGACGTTTATCAACAGTATAGAGCAGTGTTGGACTGATCACCTCACTGGGCATAGGCTCAAGACCCTGAGTGGTAAGAATGCCAAAAATCAGATTTGGGAAGGGTAGTCTTACCTTCTATTCCCGTGGATGAATTAAGGTAAGAATGTGATAGTAAATCCATTTTCCCAGATCAATTGGCATTTTCGTTCCAATGCGAAATAAGAAGCCTGCCAGTAACTTGCCAACAGTGTGGAAATGGGCTGATGGGAGCCAATTGTGAAGTGCCAGCCGATGTAGAATCACATATCTGGATGTGAGATGCGAGCTCTGCAGATAGTCCTTATCTCCTGTAGGCCATGATTTTGTCTGTCCACCAGTAAGAGTTCTGGCCACCAAGTTCCAGTCAGTGACAGGGTCTTCTTGCACAGCAGTCAAACCATAGTATTCATTGATCATGTCCGGCCCAAAAACGTACCACCTTCCTCTAATGAAAATCTGCATCGGTCGTGGCCCAGATAGGATGTCAATCTCGTCATTGAGATTACAATAGAATTCATACGTGAGAAGCTTAGAGTATGGGCAGATGTTCGTGACAGTCTTCAACAAACCGACTTCAATCAGCAAAGGTAAAATGCCACAAACAGAATTCAGCTGGTTCTCATCCACAGATCCTTGAACAATAAGATCCCTTCTAACCATGGTAGACCATTTGGTCTGAGCAGCAGGAGAAATAAACTGAGGCTTTTTGCTTAACAGACGATCGCAGAGTCTTGAACACTTGTTGAATAGGCGGATTTTCTTCCGGCTTAACACCCTCACTCGACTTCCTTTTCTTCTCAGGCTGATCCACATCAGCACTGTCATCACTAGTCTCAACAACAACCTTTACTAGAACGTTCTTCCTTTTAGACCTTCTTGTTTCATTGGATGGGGATTGAACAGGAGTCACAGAATGACTGGAATCAGAAACATTGGCAGATGAGCTCCCAATAATATTCGAAATTTCTCGAATTTTGAAAGTCGTGGAGTCAGGATGAGCAGTGGCCTCAACAGTTGGAATAACAGATGGAAGTGTTTGAGATCCATACACTTCAGCCAGTATTTTATCTTCTTTGCTGGAAGATTCGGAAGGGTGAATCACTTGATACGGTTGAGGGATTGAAGCAGATGGTAGACTAGCAAAATGTCGCACATGTTCCAGACTTTCGCCCAATGATGTGGCAGTGCAGACTGGGATACCACCGGTTTTCTTAGACTTATGGGGGCTTGATAGATCTACAGGTTCAACATTAACAAGTAAGACAGGAGTGTCAACGACAGAACAGACTTCCTTAGGGTCATCAGCAATTTCAGTCGGAGGCAGAGCAACATTATCAGAAGCAAAAACAACTAAACTCAATTTATTTGGCTCATCAGAGGACTTTTCTTTCTCATCACACACATGCAAGACATCAGTTTTCACACCAACAGACTCACTCACAGGCAGAGATGTAGAATCAACATTCACAGGGGGATTCTCGGAATCCAAAGCAGTTAAATTTTTAGAAATAAC